TTCCTCACATATACATATACATCTAATCTGTTACAAAACCCAACCAAATCTGCTTGCTTAACTTCTAGCCTGTCTATGCTTTCTTAATCCCCTGAGTTCAGGGTTTCTCAATCTTGGCAACACTGCAATTTTGAGCCAGGTAGTTCTTTGCTGTGATGGGTTCTCTTGTGCACTGTAGGATGTTTAACAGTTTCCATGTCCTCACCCCATTAGATTATCAATAGCACCCTCTAGTTGGAATAACCAAAAATGTCTCCAGACATTACCAAATGTCTTGAAGGCAAAGGAATCACCTTTCACTCCACAGAGCCATTGCCTTAATTAATCGATGTCCTTACTGTTAATCACCTGTATTAGGGCAAGAGATCCCACCTGAACCTCCCGCCCAGGATGGTGAAGTGAAGACGTGAAAGTGCTAGTTATTCATTTGTGTCTGACTCTTTGTGACCCCATGGACTGTAGCCCTCCTCTGTCCAAGGAATTCTTTAGACAAGAATACTAGAGTAGATAGCAATTCTGTTCTCCTGGGGATCTTCCCAACCCAGGGACTGAACCTGGGTCTCCACTGAAGGCAGATTCTTTACTGTCTGAGTCACCAAGGAAGCCCCACCCAGGACAATACCTCTTCCCTATTCTTCACAGTCCTTACAGTTTTAGTTTTCTCCAGGATAAAATCTAGTTATCTCTAATGTGGCTTAAAAATGGTATTATCTTTGCTCTATTTACCTCTCCAGCTTCCTACCCCCAACTATACTGAATTCCTTGCAGTTGTCTGAAGGATGGATGAAAGTTAGAAGTGTTAGTCAGAAGTGTTAAGTACACTAGCAGTTTAAAAGATAAAAGCAAAACTCCTAGAATGTTTTATATATAGAATATGAGTAAGCATGTACTTTGTGAAACACAGACAGAATTGTGTTAAATATACATAGTAAGTTAGTAAACTATAAGGCATACCAAAGTTAAAATAAATAAAAAATATGGAACAGAGCATCATTTACAGTCAAATAAGAAGGGAAAAACAAAGATACGAATAATTATGCCATCTCTAGGATGACAGCTATGTCACCCCTAAATCAATCAGCCCCAGGCAACACCTAGTATGGTCTCATACATGCGCTATCCAAGAAATGCAAATAAAACCCATGTCTGCTCCTCAGGCTAATTAGTAAGCTCTGGCTGTGACCAAGCATGTTTCCCTTCATCTATCCAACAGAGCACACACGGTGGAAGCGGGTTAACCACAGAGTTACCTGGACATGATCCGCTATGAGCTTGAAGCCTAGAGAACTCGAAGCACATGGCAAACCAAATGCACAGATAATCCAGCAGCCGAGTTTCTTCCCACTAGTTCTTTTCAGAATTAATAGTAATTACAAAATGGACCAACTTAAGTTCTATTTCCATTAATGAAAGTGTCATCAGAGCAGCAGTTTTTTACCGTGGTGCACACTGCTATGAATTTTACATTCACGATCTTATTTCATTTTTAGTCACAGTATTCACTGCTGCTGGGCTTCCCTGGTGGCTCAGCGGTAAAGAATTCGCCTACCAATGCAGCGGAATTGGGTTTGATCCCTGGGTCGAGAAGACCCCTGCAGAAGGAAATGGCAACCTACTGCAGTAATTTTGCCTGGGAAATCCCATGGACAGAAGAACTTGGCAGGCTACAGTCCATGGGGTCAAAAAGAGTCAGATGTGACTAAACAATGAAATAACAAACAGAGCAGTTGTGTGTCATTACCCCAAAGCACCTTCTACCTGTGGGCCTCCTTGCTATAACCTTAACCCCAGTCCTCATAAGCATATCATCAGTGGCAACGGCTGATGTGGCCAACACATGAACACTGCATAACTCATGACTCAGCTGACGCTGCCCTTCTACTTACTTGTACCCTAGTCTAAGTGTGTCAATTTACCCCAAATCTTTCCCCTTGCTTTTCTCTGGATATTTACTTCAGGCTTTAATCTCCTTCCAAAATACTCCTGCTTTAGCACCTTTTTTTTTTTTTTTTTTTTTGTGCTTTAGCACCTTTCATTTTATCCTGTTGATATCCTTTTGTTTCTACGGTTGTGGTGTTAGCTATTTATCTTTCTGTCTTATTAGTCTACGAGCTCTTTGAGAACAAGAATCAAATTTCATCCTTTTTCTCTCATTATAACTTAGAAAGTGCCAACCACAAAGTAACTACTAAAAGAACTACTTAACTCACCTTCTACAGACACAGTTAAGGAGGTTACCCATTGTTTTTGCCTTTCTCCCATTCTTAGTTTCTAAGATTGGTGTAAATCAGGGAGTGGCAAAACCCTGCTTAGGTTCAAAGCAGTAAGAAGGTGCTAGGAAGGACAATAGATTCACTGCAGAAAACAACTGACAGTAGGTGTCCTCTGGTGGCTGAGTGGTTAAAAAAAAAGAAAAAAGAAAAAAAGGGAAAAAAATCTGCCTGTAATACAGATGTGACAGGAGCTAACGGTTTCATCCCTGGATCCAGAAAATCCCCTGGAGAAGGAAATGGCAACCCACTCCAGTATTCTTGCTGGGATAATCCCATGGACAGAGGAGCCTGGTGGGCTAGAGTCCGTGGGGTCACCAAAGAGTGGGACACGACTTAGCAACTAGAACAACAATCAAGAACATTTTAGCTTTGGTGGCTCTTATTTCCCTGACCCAGTTTTTCACTTGGCTGTGTTAGGGCTCACAAGGGCTCACAGCGTATAGTTAAAATATGGGCCATTGTGGTGACCCGACGAACAAGGAATAAAGTCACAGTGGCCACACTGCCCTGGTCGGCATTCAGTTTTCCCATATGGCAATATCCTGTTTTTCCCTGCTTGTACCAGTTTCTCTAGACTACCTGACCACCCCGACAGTGAGACCCCTTCGACTACATGACCACAAGATCCCAGCTGCAGGCTAAAGATACACTGAGGCCCCCTCCCTCCGGGGCACAATTTCCCATCAATAGGGTATAAGAAGCATTGGCTGTAAAAAGAGGGCACTGGTTTTTCTCTAAGGCCAGTCTCTTTCTTTCTATAATAAATCTTTCTCTGCCTGACTGCCTTGCTCGCTCTCTTTTTCTCCACGCTTGCCTTATAGGCTGGTGAGTGGGGCAGGGCAGGGTGGGACAGGGGTCCTCCTACCCCCACCTTAAAATATTTGAAGGCTCAGCCCCTTCAGCTAAGAGATGGAGGGTTCTCAAAAATTCCAAGTGAACAAATGTGCCTTAAAAATTAAGTTCAGTTCAGTCGCTCAGCTGTGTCCAACTCTCTACAACCCCATGGACTGGAGCACGCCAGACTTCCCTGTCTATCACCAGCACTCAGAGCTTACTCAAACTCATGTCCATCGAGTCAGTGATGCCATCCAACCATCTCATCCTCTGTCATCTCCTTCTCCTCCCGCCTTCAATTTTTCCCAGCATCAGTGTCTTTTCCAGTGAGTCAGTTCTTCACATCAGGTGGCCAAAGTGTTGGAGTTTCAGCTTCAGCATCAGTCGTCAGTGATCAATGACAAGAAATAGAGGAAAACGATAGAGTGGGAAAGACTAGAGATCTCTTCAAGAAAATTAGAGATACCAAAATTTCATGCAAAGATGGGCACAATTAAGGACAGAAATGGTATGGACCTAACAGAAGCAGAAGATGCTCAGAAGAGGTGGCAAGAATACACAGAACTATACAAAAAAGATCTTCATCACCCAGATAACCACAATGGTGTGATCACTCACCGAGAGCCAGACATTCTGGAATTTGAAGTCAAGTGGGCCTTAGGAAGCTACTGGAGATGATGGAATTCCAGTTGAACTATTGCAAATCCTAAAAGACGATGCTGTCAAAGTGCTGCACTCAATATACCACCAAATTTGGGAAACTCAGCAGTGGCCACAGGACTGGAAAGGGTCAGTTTTCATTCCAATCCCAAAGAAAGGCAATGCCAAAGAAATTATCAAACTACTGCACAACTGCACTCATCTCACAGCTAGCCAAGTAATGCTCAAAATTCTCCAACCCAGGCTTTAAAAATTAATGAGCCCCTAATTGGTACAGACAATAAGCACACAAGAAAGACAATGATTTGTTCCCCTCAGAAAGTTTGCAAGTGTCTTCCTGGCTCCTACGCTTTGTGCGTGCATGCTTAGTCCCTTCAGTCGTGTCCAACCGTCTGGGACCCAGTGGGCCGTAGCCCGCCAGGCTCTTCTGTCCATGAGATTCTCCAGGCAAGAATACTCGAGCGGGTTGCCATGCCTTTTCCAGACAATCTTCCTAACTCAGGGATCGAACCCGCATCTTTTATGTCTCCTGCATTGGTAGGCGGGCTCTTTACCATTGCGCCTGGTAGGCCTCCTAGGGAGGCCTCCTATTTCGCTTGAAGTAATAAACAGCTCTTCTCATAGTTCCTAATGGGATCCCCAGGTGGCGCTAGTGGTAAAGAGACAGAAGGGATAAGGGTTCGATCCTTCGTTCAGGAAGATCCCCCGGAGGAAAAATGGCAACCCGCTCCTGTTCTTGCCTGGAGAATCCCATGGACAGAGGACACGACTGAGCCAGTGAGCATACACATTCTTAGAGTTTATAACAAAGGGGATGCATTTTGGAATATATTTCGCTTGAATGAAGTAAATCATAAAATGGGAGACCTCAGACAGAGGGCCTTCTTTAAGTGTTTTGAATTCATTCACTTCTCCTTCAGGGATTAGGAGGCTTGAGGTGCAAAGATTTGACATCACGCACAGACGTAGAAACTCGCGAACACAACTCAAGTTAGCGGAACTTGCATCTTGGTAAAGGTGACCCTAGGCACCGCCCAATTTCCTAATGTCAAAGAAAAAAAAAATTCAGTCAGGCTCTGAAGCAACTATTGCCTCACCTTGAATCATTCGCCAATTCATGCCGCCCCGCCCTTTCCGCCCCGGAGGCGGCCAGGCTCGCTTCCCCTCTAGGCTTCTTTCGGGCCTCTCTTTATGGTAGCGCTGAGCCTCTCTAGCCTCGCTCTCCGTTCTCTCGGTGGTAAACTACAGGAAGCGCTGAAAAGCGCGTGCGCAGGCCGCGCTCAGAGGCGGCGGCTGTGGTGTGCACTCCGTTGTTGGGGAGCTCAAGCTAAAGGTAAACGGAATAGAAGGGGAGGTTCGGGGCGGGGAGACAGGTTCCTGAGTGGGAGGGGGGCCCGGGCCGGCTGAAGGAGGTCCCCGAGCAGAGGAGGGGGAGCACGTTGGACACGTAAGGGGAATTTTCAGCTGCGTGCTGGGGCCTTCCGCGGCCTGCCGCCCTGCCCCGACCCCCTCTCCCTCAGGTCGATCTGCGGCCTCTTGTGTCGAAGTCAAGCACAGTTCCTGTCAACTCCGCGGGTTGTCGCCTCTCTTGGGGAGACCTGGAGCCCTCCTAATTTTGACTTAAGGTTTGTCTTATTTAGAGGAGAGCTTTTGTGGCCTAGAACCCCATTTACTGCTTATCTGTCCGCTCTTTGGGTTTTATTTTTTAAATCAGAATCTTCCCAGTCGTAGCTGTTTGGTTGAGCCTGGAGGTCGAATAGTATTGTTTTCTCCATCCCAGTAGCATGAACATAGTAGGGGCTCATATGCTGTATCTGGTGGCTTACAACATTCTCAAACAGCCGGTGAAAAGTAAGGTAGTTTTGGATGCAATGCAGGAGACCCCGCTTCGATTCCTGGGTCGGGAAGATCCCCTGGAGAAGGGATAGGCTACCCATTCCAGTTTTCTTCGGCTTCCCTTGTGGCTCAGCTAGTAAAGAATCTTCCAGCAATGCGAGAAACCCCGGTTGGATCCCTGGGTTGGGAAGATCCCTTGAAGAAGGGAAAGGCTACCCACTCCAGTATTTTGGCCTGGAGAATTCCATGGGCTGTATAGTCAATGGGGTCGCAAAGAGTCTGACACGACTGAGCAACTTTAACTTTCTAAAACTATACTTTTACCTTTACAGTCTTGTCCTTAGCAAGACTTCCCATACTTTGTCATTCCTAAAATGTGTTAGTTTCCCAGAGGGGAATCATTTATTGAAAAATATAAAAGATGAAGCTTTTAAGTTGCGTGATTCTGGAGTAGGTATTCCCAGGCTCATTTTTTTGGAAGGAAGGAGGTTGGGATTCTAATCAGGCTAAAGAAAGTGTTGCTTCGCAGATGGCTCAGTGGTTAAAAAAAAAAAAAAAAAAACCAGCCCGCCAATGCAGGAGATGCGGGTTGGTTTCTAGGTTGGAAAGATCCCTGGGAGAAGAAAATGGCAACCCACTCCGGTATTCTTGCCTGGAAAATCCCTTAGACAGAGGAGCCTATTGAGCTACAGTCCACAAGGTCACAAAAGAGTCTGGATGTGACTAACAACAAAGAAAGTGTTAAGGAGTTTTAACTGCTCCTGTGTGAAGAAGCCCCTAGGGAGGGGCTTGTGTGGGAGGAACGCCCTCGAAGTGCTTGTAACCACAGGATTGAGGTAGAGAGGGATAGTTGCTGGATCCTGAGCATCTGGTTATACTGATTTGGGGGAGATTCAGCCTTCTCCGTGTGAGATTCTGGCAGTTGAGGAGCATGTATTCATTCGGAAGATGTTACCTACTATGTGCCAGTGGTAGACAAGCTGCAGCCGTAACAGGACCCAGATGATTCCTGGCCCTCATGGAGCTTAGTATATAATGGGAAAAACTCACAGGAAAGAAGAAACCCTGTGATGAGTGCTAGGAAAAGGGGAGTCCCTGAACTTCGTTCTTCTTTTGGCTTAAGTGATACAGAAAATAACCCCATATAGCTTCTTCCAACAGGTAAGAAGTAATAGAGGCAAATTTTCAAACAGAGAAAAAAGGATCTGTAACAATAGAATTTGAGTAAGGCATGCCAGAAAGGTGAAGACGGGGACACTATCTTGAAGGATTAGTTAGCATTGCCTGGCTTTCTGAGCAAGAGAACAGTGAAAGTCGTGAAGCCCTGTCCACCTTCTTCAGGGGATCTTCCCAACCCAGGGATGGAACCCAGGTCTCCCGCATTGCAGGAGGATTATTTACCAGCTGAGCCACAAGGGAAGCCCCAATATGAAGACTTAAAATGTAACAGAAACTTTCAGGTAGTGTAGTTTGACCTGCAATGTCTGATGTTTGAACAAATAATGCCATGCTAAGTGTCCAGACTTTTGTTTTCTAGGAGGAGATGGGTGTTTTCCACACAGTTCAAGATCACAATCACTTACCCAACATCTATATTGAGTATTAAGTTAATTGTGGTTGTTGTTCAGTCACTAAGTCTTGTCTGACTCTTCTGCAACCCCATGGACTGTAGCCTGCCCGGCTCCTCTGTCCGTGGGATTTCCCAGTCGAGAATACTGAAGTAGGTTGCCATTTCCTTCTCCATAGTATTATTAGTATTAAGTACTGTTAATTAATCTGTTTTTAAAAAAATTGAAGTATTGTTAAAAAATTAAAGTACTGTTCATCTCCAGGAGTAGTTAGTACTCTTTGACAGTTTTGACCACATCCAGAATTCAGGTAAAATAAAGAGAGCTTTACTCATTCGTCTTGGTCTATAAACAATCCCTCAGTTGTTGAATTTTAGGGGTTCTGTTCTCTTTGACCTTTAAGGACCCTAGAAATAGAGACAAATCACAGATGGAGTTTGGAGACCTGAAAGGTTTGCTGAATTGTTCCAAATACGAACACTGTGCAGTATATCAAAGTGTTAGTCGTTCTCGGGTCTAAGTGTTAGTCATATCCAACTCTTTGCAACCCCTTGGACTACAGCCTGCCAGGCTCCTTTGTCCATGGGATTTTCCAGATGACATTGGAGTGGGTTGCCATTTACTTCTCCAGGGGATCCTCTGGACCCATGGATTGAACCTGGGTCTCTCACGTTATAGGCAGAATCTTTACCACCTGAGCCACCAGGGAAACATTATTGTGCAGTATATAGATGGGACTTACTATTTTAATCCAGTCACCCACCCTATGTGGCGCATTTAATCTCTTTACATTTAAAATGATTATTGATAGGTATGTGTGTTCAGTGCAGTTCAGTTCAGTCACTCAGTCTGTCTGACCCTGAACTGCAGCACACCAGGCCTCCCTGTCCATCACCAACTCCCAGAGTTTATCCATACTCATATCTATTGAGTTGGTGATGCCATCCAACCATCTCATCCTCTGTCATCCCCTTCTTCTCCCACCTTCAATCTTTCCCAGCATGAGGGACTTTTCAAATGAGTCAGCTCTTCGCATCAGGTGGCCAAAGTATTGGAGTTTCAGCTTCAGCCATCAGTCCTTCAATGAACACTCAGGACTGACTTCCTTTAGGATGGACTGGTTGGATCTCCTTGCAGGTCCAAGGGACTCTCAAGAGTCTTCCCAACACCACAGTTCAAAAGCATCAATTCTTCGGCACTCAGCTTTCTTTATAGTCCAACTCTCCCATCCATACATGACTACTAGAAAAGCCATAGCCTTGACTAGACGGACCTTTGTTGGGAAAGTAATGTCTCTGCTTTCTAATATGCTGTCTAGGTTGGTCATAACTTTCCTTCCAAGGAGCAAGCGTCTTTTAATTTCATGGCTGCAGTCACCATCTGCAGTGATTTTGGAGCCCCCAAAAATAAAGCCTGACACTGTTTCCACTGTCTCCCCATCTATTTGCCATGAAGTGATGGGGCCAGATGCCATGATCTTGGTTTTCTGAATGTTGAGCTTTAAGCCAACTTTTTCACTCTCCTCTTTCACTTTCATCAAGAGGCTCTTTAGTTCTTCCTCACTTTCTGCCATAAGGGTAGATCCGCATATCTGAGGTTATTGATATTTCTCCCGGCAATCTTGATTCCAGCTTGTGCTTCCTCCAGCCCAGCATTTCTCATGATGTACTCTGCATATAAGTTAAATAAGCAGGGTGACAGTATAGAGCCTTGACGTACTCCTTTCCCTATTTGGAACCAGTCTGTTGTTCCATGTCCAGTTCTAACTGTTGCTTCCTGACCTGCATACAGATTTCTCAAGAGGCAGGTCAGGTGGTCTGGAATTCCCATCTCTTTAAGAATTTTCCACAGTTTATTGTGATCCACACAGTCGAAGGCTTTGGTATAGTCAATAAAGCAGAAATAGATGTTTTTGTGGAACTCTCTTGGTTTTTTGATGATCCAGCGGATATTGCCAGTTTGACCTCTGGTTCCTCTGCCTTTTCTATATCCAGCTTGAACATCTGGAAGTTCTCGGTTCATGTATTGCTGAAGCCTGGCTTGGAGAATTTTGAGCATTACTTTACTAGCGTGTGAGATGAGTGCAGTTGTGTGGTATTTTGAACATTCTTTGGCATTGCCTTTTTTAGGGATTGGAATAAAATCTGACCTTTTCCATGTACCTATTGCCATTTTGTTTATTGTTTCTGGTTGCTTTTGTAGTTCTTCTCTTGTTCTCTTCTCTAGTGGTTTGATGATTTATTTTTTCACTGTTACTTTTGGATTTCTTTCTTTTTGTTTTTTGTGTATCTGTTGTAGGTTTGTGGTTACCATAGGTTCGTATATATTGACATATAATAATGATGTATGTGTGCGCATATATATATATATATATATATATATATATACACACACACATATATATATAAATTCACGAGCTTGCATGCTAAGTTGTTTCAGTCATGTCTGACTCTGTACAACCATATGGACTATAGCCTGCCAGGCTTCCCTCCCTGTCCATGGGATACTGCATGCAGAGAAACTGGAGTGGGTTGCCATGCCCTCTTCCAGGGGATCTTCCTGACCCAGGGATCAAACCCACATCTCTTTCTGGTATCTTAGACCGCAGAGACAGTTTCAGAAATTCTCTGCTCATTTGGCAGACGCTTTAGGGTTAGTAAATGGATCTCCTTCATGATAGTGTAGGTGCCCTTTAAGCAGCTGCTTTTTTGCTCTGTCCCAGGAGGGGCAAGTCTGTGTACAGGCTCCTCAGTGATATTCCTCCATACTGAAGACCCTTGTTGGGGGTGGGTTTCCCATTGATACCATGTCTCTCTCGCTTTTACCCATCCTCTATATGACCTCTCTATCACTTGTTCTGCAGCCCTCAGTATTTCTTCAGCAGGAATTGATCTGTATGTAGGTACAAATTCAGCATGTTCATGTGAAGAGATAAGTTCAGGGTCTTATACACTGTCATCTTTGAGACCTCCCAAATATTTTAAATGATACGGTGGACTGTATTATTGTCTGAAGTTCACTTTATGGTGCCTGGGTCTTGAGGCTTAAGACTGTTTCACTTAGCCATGTAACCTTTCTCTTGGTGCCCATTCACATGTCCTGTAGGTAGTATTTGAAGATAATAGGCCCAAAAAGTTGACAGTTGCAAGAGGCATGACGTGTGTGCACGCACGCATGCCTAAAACTGCTGATTTGCATAGGAGGGGTGAATGGAATTACTATTATTTTTTTGTTAAAGGTAAATGCGAAAATGCCTTATATAAATTGTCCCTATACTGAAGAAAGACTTTTTTCATGAAAGGGAGAGATTCTTAAAAGTTGACCTAAAAATACAATAAGTTTTTTGTTTGGTTAAAGTTCCTCTTGATGTGATTTTTTTCCTACTGACTTTAAGAGTGGTAACAAAGGGGTTCTGCTTTAACCCCTGTAGGAGGCCTACGACCGGGTCTTAGAGCTCGTGTTATTAGGAAAACTAATAAACTGCTCGCATCATGGCCTTGTTTTGAGGTCACTTCTTCAGTGCACCTAACCTACTTACCTTAGAGTTGGGTAATGGATAGCAAGAGAAAATGCTTAAAACTTACTTCAAGGGATCTAGAAAAAATAAATTTAAATTGTAGTGTTTAAAACCCAAACTGGAATTAAAAGAACAGATTGGAAATTGCCATTGCAAAAAGTCAGAGTGGGCAAAGTGGGTGAAAAGGGAGTCAAAAGGTATGGACTTCCAGCTGTAAATAAGTAATGGGGATGTGACATCCAGCTTGATGACTAATTAATAATTCTGTACTGCATATTTGAAAGTTGTTGAGGGAGTAGACTTTAAAAAAAGAAAAATCAAAGAAAGAAATTTGTAACTGTGGTGGCAGATGTTAACTAAACTTACTGTGCTGATCATTTTGCAATATATACAAATATTGTATTGTTTCATTGTACATCCGAAACTAATATAATGTTGTCAGTACTTCAATTTTTTAAAAAGGCATATATCCCTGAGCTGTCAGTGTTCACATTCCTTGAGCTGTCAGTGTTCACATCATATGAGGAGCAGATATCCAGTACTTGTGTTTACTACCTCAGGTATAGAAGAATGAAGTCTTAACAAATCTATATTTACTTCTTTCTCTCTCAACTCTTCTTGCAGTGTTATAAAAATATTGAAAGTTAATCTTAGAATCACAAAACATACTCTGTTTAGTTATTGAGGGAAAGTATTGGCAATTCTAAAGCAAGAGAAAATTGAGAATGCAGAACTTTTTAAAGAAAATGTCAAATAATAAAATCTGGAGTTAGTAAGGAGAGACTTTATTGAAAGCATTGTTGCCAGAGGGGAAAAGAGATTATTGCAGTGAAGCGAATTCACCAGAAGATTTGCCAGGGGAAGAGTAAACAGTGCTTGGAACAGAACTGCTTGGTCTGATTATAGATCCCAGATTGTTTTAGCCTGAGGCCAGCTTTTTCTCTGGAGGGATCCTTTGCTGGCTCTGGCTGAGGTTATACCAAAGTTCAGGGGCCTAGAGGAAGGAGAGAAACTTAAAATATGATTAGCTGTATTTTTCCAATTTTGTTCCAATTGATTATTTCAGCGAGCAGTTCAGCTGAATGCGCATAAATTTATAAATGAGACAGTGGGGATTTGGAGGTCCTTTGTTCTGGTCGTAGGTGAACAGTGGGATGTTCCTGAGTCTTACAGAAGCCGTACAGAGAGTAGGAGGCTTTCTTTAGGCAAGCCTGGTCAAGAACCAGGAGTACAGGTCTCAGGTGAAATTCAGCTTGTTAAAAGGCACTTTTCCATTTGAAGTGGAAAATAATTAAATGTACAAAAAAAATTCTTTGAAGTGTTTATATAGGAAGGCCTTTAGGATACTCACTGACATTCAGGAATTAATAAATCCTACATCACTTAGTTTGGAAATACTTACAGACCGATCTCGATTGTACCATAGTGACATTTTCCTAAAAGTGGGGTAGGGAGGGGAGAGTGGAAAACCAATCTAAATTAATCAGGTCTAAATTAACACATTTAAGGCTTATTGTATGGTTTTCATCCAATCCCATAAGAAGCTGATTTTTTTTTTCCCTTCTGTGAGAAATACTAGATATTGTGCTGGTCCAAGTGACTTTTCCTGTGTTTAACGTATTTTCCATTAAAAAAAAAAAAAAAGGGAAGTAAAATTGTGACTGTGACACTGATACAAAATCAGTAGTACCTGGTTTTTATTTTCCTTATTAACAAGGGGATTGATAAGATGTTATAACCAGTTCAAATGATAGAACAGACACATTTATTGATCAGGAATATTGAAATAAATGAGCAAATAGAGGCAAAACTGTCTTCTTCCACAGTGAGCCAGGGGAGTCAGTTGTACCTCTGACAGACAGAATTTACAAGAATATGGACAAGAATTGCTCTGCATTGCTGTTATATACTCTTGTCCAGGGTAAAATAGCTCAAAGGCAGTGAAAGACTCAGAGCTCCCACATAATTGGAATGTGGCAACCTGAAGGTTGTACTCTCAACGGCGCAGTTTTCCACTGAAGCCAGGTATTTTTCTCCAAACCTAGTTTATGAAATTTACAGCTCCTTCTCCCCCTCTCAAATAATCTTCCCTTAAGTATCAGACTTCTAGAAGGCAAGTGCATGTCTGTGTGTGTTTCTTATTCTTTTTTGATGTACTCTGTAAATATAGAAGGTGCTTGGTTAATGTTCTGTTAATTGAATTATCTACAGTGAAGTGAGTGAATGCGATTCTAATTCAGTCAGTGCATGGGCCTTACTAAGATCTCTCTTTTCTAATAAGTTCCCAGCTGATGCTAGTACTAGTTCATGGACAATAAATAGTAACGTATTTAAGGAAGACATTGTGCTGTCGCTTCAGTCATGTGTGACTCTTTGCGACCCTTTGGGTCGTAGCGCAACAGGATCCTCTGTCCATAGGATTCTCCAGGCAAGAATACTGGAGTGGGTTGCCATGCCCTCCTCCAGGGGGTCTTCCCAATCCAGGGATAGAACCCATTTCTCTTATGTCTGCTGTATTGGTGGGCAGGTTCTTTACCACTCGTGCCACCTGGGAAGCCTTGGCGATCATAGCACCATGCTGCAAGTGAAGAGAGCAACATGAGGCTACTAGACTACCATTTGAAGAAAAAAAAAAATGCTAATTCTGGGTCACATTGCCAGAGCACAGGCCTAAGTAAGTGAGCAAAAGAAACAGTTGCTTGGAAACAAATTCAGAGAACTCTATAGTGGAACCTTAGCCTAAGGGAGGGCGTTGGGAGTTAACTACAGGGGCGGAGTACCAGAGGGGTAAGTTTTAGAAAGCAGGCAGCAGCCACTGAAATCACTGCCTGAAATTTTGTGCTTCTTGAGCTAGCCTGGCTTTTTTTTTTTTTTTTTTTTTTTCTTTTTTAAAGCAATGTTTGAATGTAAAACTGCTTTGATACAGGTGTGTACACTTTTATCATGACAGTTTCACTCAAGTGAATGGTTCCAGTATGCCATTGAGCTTTAAGCAGTGTGAAAAGTACATTTTGTACTACAGCTGGTTTTGTCTTCTTTCAGACGGGGCACTTTAATTTTTAACTGAGGAGGTCCTGTAATTTGTTCATCAGTAGTTCAGCTTTCTTTTAGCAGCACAGAAGAGGTGGGAGATAATGTGAAACTGGCACCAAAGAAAGATCTCTACTTACTGGAAGGTGGTGGGGGAAAGGCACGGTAAATGAGGCTACTAAATTTAGCAAATAAAATACAGGAAGCCCAGTTACTTTTTAACTTCAGAGAAGCAACAAATTACTTTTTAGCAATATTTGGGATATAATTTAAATTGTTTATGCATTATCTAAAATTCAAATTTAACTGAGCATCCTGTATTTTATCTGGCAACTCCAGTAGTAAATAATTCTACCCTAACAGTGATACCTTAGAGATCCCACACATTGTTCTAATTATAATAGCTTTATAGTAAATAAATTTCTTATTTTGATTTCCTTCAAGATTATCTTGGCTTTCTTGAACCTTTACTCTTCCATAGACCAGCTTGCTAAATTCTGGATGGTGGGGGATTTGTGGAATACCTGGTGAAATTTTGATTGTAATCATACTGAATTTATAGATAAATTCCTGTAGAATTGACATATTTACTATAGTCACACTTGCCATAATTATTTTCTAATGTTTTTGTAGGTTTTTGGTAAATGTCTTTCTACTCCTTGCTTGCTAAGGGTCTTCTTTTTGTTATGCAGGCTTTGAATTTTATCAAATGGCTTTTTCAGCTTCCCAGATAAAAATTTTGCAGCACAAATCTGACTCTCTTTAATGTTTTCTCTAGGGTGATCTGCTAGAGAGAGTTCTCTAAGCAAAAATCAGAAAGAGGAAATTTACTTGAATCAAGCATGATGGATCCATGTTCAGTTGGAGTCCAGCTCCGTACCACAAATGAGTGCCATAAAACCTATTATACTCGTCATACAGGTTTCAAGACTTTGCAGGAATTGTCATCAAATGACATGCTTCTACTTCAACTGAGAACTGGAATGACACTTTCTGGAAACAATACAATTTGCTTCCATCATGCAAAAATTTACATCGACAGATTTGAGGATTTGCAGAAGTCATGTTGTGACCCATTTAACATACACAAAAAGTTAGCCAAAAAAAATTTACATGTAATTGATTTAGATGATGCCACTTTTCTGAGTGCAAAATTTGGAAGACAGCTTGTACCTGGTTGGAAGCTTTGTCCAAAATGTACACAGATAATCAATGGAAGTGTGGATGTTGATTCTGAAGACCGGCAGAGAAGAAAACCTGACTCAGATGTATGTAGAGTCAATTTTTTCTCCGTTACTTCTACAATGTAGGGTTTTGTTTAATTATAAAGAAATCATTTATATCACTGTTTATTACAGTTGGCCCTTAAACAATGTAGATTTGAACTGTGCAGGTCCACTTATATGTGGACTTCTTTCAGTCAGTACCGTACTGTTACGATCTGTGGTTGGTTGAATCCAAAGATGCAGAGGCTCAACTCTGGGACTTGAGCAGCAGCCTAGCATTTTGGTCTCCACAACTGATTGTGGAACCAGTTCCACTAGAATATCAAGGGATGGACTTAAATGCAGTGAATATAAAGTTGGGGAGGTAAAAATAGATGATGTTTTCTAAATATTTGTGTAAACCCAGATTGTATGGTAAAGAGTGTTGGCTTGGGGAAAGAATAATATAATATTCCCTAGACTTTCAAGCTGCAACTCCTAGTGCTAAGACATTCTGGCATTGCCAGAGCTTAACAATCTTAGCTCCTTTTCTGATACTGAAGTAACTCAGTAGGTTACGCCTGCCAGCAAGGGTTTGAAATACAGCAGAATGAATTCCCTTTTTTATGAAAGACTTGAAAACTGCTGCTTTAAAAGGAACTTCAGAAGTGACTTGAAATAATTGTTTCTTATTTCAGCCTTTCTTTTGACTTTGGCACTATCCCATTCTTATCTGGGTTTTTAAGATGCTTGTGAGTTTCCTTTGCGTCTAGCTCTGAATTCATTCTTCTTATTGTCAAGGCTAATTTTAGGACTCCCTACTGTCAAAAAGCATACATTTTTACATTGTAAGTATTAAATATCTTATAGCTCTCTTCCTTATTCACATGCCTACATTTAGATTATTTAGCCGTTATCAGAACAGTTTTAAGATTTCATAAAGCTGTCTGGTGTAGAACAAGGACTGGTATGTCAAAGGAGGACTTCTCAAGTTTTCTATTTATAAGCAATTTATAATTCTTGCTGCTGGCAAGAATTTTTCTCAATTTTCTCCTTTCTATTAATAAACCAAATTAAAAGATAATTAAAATTTTATAGTGCTTTTCCTTTGTTATCCCCTCAAAGGCATAGCTCCAGGACCCAGTATGAATTTTGTTACATTTGGCCACTAAAACTTTTTTCTTTCTTTTTTGCGAGTTCCAGACTGTCTTCCTGGCTAAGAAATAATCTGGATTAATGTTAAGTGAAATATCTATGTATGGTTTGATATTAAGATTTGAGTTAATAATTTGTTAACCTTTATTCAGGGAAGAACTGCTAAAGCTTTGAGGTCATTACAATTTGCAAACCCAGGAAAACAAACTGAATTTGCTCCAGAAACTGGTAAAAGAGAAAAAAGAAGGCCTGCCAAAAATGCAACAGCTGGTTCAGACAGGTACACTATGTGTTGTTTAAGTCATATGTTAACTTGCCTCACATCTGTATTATTTTCCTATCTTTCTCTTACAAGTTTTGAATTTTCTGGTCAGATAGTTTAAATTCGGTAATCTGGAATTAGTAAGAACCCCCAAGGGTCTCATAGAAAATTAAGGTGTTCCTTTCCTCTCTGAAAATTTTGTTTCTGAGAAAGTCTCAATGAAGTGAATAAGATAATCTTTTTGGCACAGTAATTAAAATAATTTAAGTATACTATACTTCTTGTAACTAAAATAATTATTTGAAAAACATTAATACATCATTTGTATGTCTCTGCTCTGTAGGTGGCAACTAAAACATAAATTTTATGAGAATGCAAGGTTGTTTTTTATTTTTTAATGTCTAAAATAGAAATGGAATCCCCAGTGGTTCAGTGGTAAAGAATCTGCCTGCATTGCAGGAACCACAGGAGACAAGGGTTTGATCCCTGAGTTGGGAAGATCCCCTGGAGGAGGGCATGGCAACCCACTCCAGTATTCTTACCTGGAGAATCCCATGGACAGAGGAGCCTGACAGACTGTAGTCTATGGGCTGACAAAAGAGCTGGACGTGACTGAATGACTTAGCACGTATTTTCTAAGAGAAAGAGTCCTTATATATAGAATGTCCTCAAGCAAGAATTACTTAGGCTTCCCTAGTGGCTCACATGGTAAAGAATCTGCCTGCAATGCAGGAGCCCTGGGTTCAACCCCTGGGCCGGGAAGATCCCCTGGAGGAGGGCATGGCGACCCTCTCCAGTATTCTTGGCTGGAGAATCCCCATGGACAGAGGAGCCTGGTGGGCTGCAGTCCATGGGGTCGCAGAGAGACAGACATGACTAAACTTCTAAGCACAGCAAAATAGAAACAATTTTGGTGTAGTTAATAGAACAAGAAAGCTAAATTGTTTAGAATATGACTTTTTAAATGGAACATTTCTAAAATACAAATTGACAAATGTTAGTGTAATCATTCAGAATTATTTTTTACACAGGCCATTATTACATCTGTGAAGGTTTTCCATTGAGTCATTAGGTGCTTTTAGGCCAGATTTGCTAGTCTGTCAAAGAACAAGAAACAGATTAATTGCAGTATAAAAAACATCTGGATGGTATACTATGATAAAAATAGAGCTATGTTCACAAAGCAGTAAAGAGATTGGTTGCTAATAAAATGTACCACTATTAACGTAGTCTTTTCTTTTTGGTAAGGGATAAATAGTTTTAGCAACTATATTATTATTTTTGGACACATTTCACCTGCTTTCCTTTGGATATATTTCAGCCCTTTACAAGAGAGGGCCTTCTTCTCACAAGCAGTTTGTTAACTTGTTTGTAGAGTAACTTTGAGTCAGGTAAGCCATGTATCAGTTTGGCAAGGTTCATCCATAATCCAAAACATTTTATCACCCTTAAATTTTTTTTCATTACCCTATTGTCAACTAAATATTCAGAAATAAAATATGCATGAAGTGTATAACTTGCCTTGTTTGTATCACAGACAAGTGATCCCGGCAAAGAGTAAGGTCTACGATAGCCAGGGCCTCCTGATTTTCAGCGGAATGGACCTCTGTGACTGCCTCGATGAAGACTGCCTAGGCTGCTTCTATGCCTGTCCTTCCTGCGGGTCTACCAAATGTGGTGCCGAATGTCGCTGTGATCGAAAGTGGCTGTATGAGCAAATTGAAATCGAAGGAGGAGAAATAATTCATAACAAACATGCTGGATAATTTGTGGTGTCCGATTGTGACCCTTTCTGTATTTCTAAAGTTCTGTAATTCTAAGATATATGTTAAAGTTGGTTTTGCCAGTTGATGCACATATACTCAGCGTGCACTAACACTGTCTTTTGGGTACCTTAAGATAAGTTATCTGATGTAAATTTAGATGGACTGTTTATTACTCAGCAGTCAGCTCTTCAAGCCTGTCTGGGTCAATGTAAAAAAGTAATGTATAGGCAGTCCTCTGTTTGTATAGTTTGCATGTCCGTAAATTTCCATGGCACTGATACAGTTAATTAAACCAGTTCCTTCACAGCAACAGTTGGAATTTCAGTTACTGTGGTATGTTAACTGTGAGTAGTTCCATGAAGTACAAACTTCTGCTAGCTGTTAAGCTCTCAAGTCAGTATGGGACACATGTACTGATTCAAGATCAGTGACTAGTCAAATTACTTCTCAGATCCTGCTAATGATTCGTCACTGCACATCTGTTACTCAGTTTGTTCAGACAGCAAAGCACATAGTTGTGTTGTCTCCTTGTCACCCATGTGACCTTTTACAAAGCGGGTAATCAGAAATGGCCAACAAAGACAAAATTGCAGTCAAGAAATAAAAATGATAAAGCTAGAGGTGAGACATGAATGAATGGGGTTATAGAAGGAATCACTGATCATGGGAATGTTGCCAGTGCTGCTATGCTAGAGCCTCTAGATACGCAGCTAGAGGAACTTAGTGCAAGCAGACTCATAAATGAGGAAGGTTGTGATAAAAAGGATGAAAATGTCCCAGAGGAAATGACAGTAACAAACTTCACATTAAAGGAAATTACAGAGGCCGTTCACAACGTTTAAAACACAAACAGTAACATCGTGGAAGCTAATCTAAACTCCACACAGAAGTAGGAAAATTTGCAGTGGTACAGAAAAGGTGCTTACCCAGTGTCATAAGTTACTTGACAAGAAGGTGAGTATGATTATTCTTGACTAGTTTTTTTACAATGAAATAGCACTTTAATTCTCATTGTTTCTGGTGTTTTAAGTTACAGTACTAAGTTACATTATTTTCATTCTTTTACATTTATAACTGACACCTTTTAATATTTTGACTTTTTTTTCAAGGTCACACAATAGTCTCTCCATTAATTATTAAGATTATTTTGATTGACACTAGCCCCCACGCAAGGCAGAGACTGCCTATAGGTGAGATTAGTACCTACTTCAGAAAAAATTTGATATAACTGGGTAGTTGAACTATTTTAGAAATAATCTCCATTCCATAAACTCCATAAGTGCTAAAATACATCATTTCTTCTCCCCACTTTTTTAAAAACGTTTTAATACTGTGTAAAGTTTTAATTACTTAGACTGTGTTCTTGGTGGAAATTTGTCCTTGGTGGCAAAAATCTATTTCTGTGTGTAAAGCATGGATATATATGCAACATTGAAACAGATATACCTTATATTAGGCTTCCCAGGTGGGGCAGTGGTAAAGAATCCGCCTGCCAGTGCAGGAGTTGCAGGAGACTTGAATTGAGTCGCTGGGTTGAGAAGACCCCCTGGAGGAGGGAATGGCAACCCACTCCAGTATTCTTGCCTGGAAAATTCCACTGAGGAGCCTAGCAGGCTACATTCCATGGGGTCACAAAGAGGCAGACATGACTGAGCATGCATGCACATGCACATACATCTGGTGTTTAATAGGATGTTGACTAAGATTAAAAGGACTAAAAACAGCTCCATGTGGAGTACTCATGAAGAAAGGTGGAGAAACACTGGTTGAAATACAGAATTAAGACATCTACCTGTCAATCTGTCTAAAATCTTATTGCCTAGACATGTCTGCTAAACTAGGTTTTTGTTTTATTTTCCCTAAATACAGTACTTTGTTTTAATCAAATTAGCTTTCTAGCAATAAATACTAAATAAATACTTTTTAGCTGTTGAAAGTAGATTTATACAGCCAGTTTGATTGAATTGACCAATAGAGGTTTATTTTTACTCCCGTATACTTTTGCTATCTTTTAAATGACTGATTTTACTTTGATGGAATGGCATTTTCAACCATGGAATTAAATGTCATTTTTAACTTATAATTGTTCACTGACCTAGTTATCAGGAATGCCTGTTATCGATTCCTTGACCAATATGTTTTTGACAGAGCACTGGTAGAACATTTTGGCTTTCTATACTTAAACTCATGATGGGCTTCCCCTGTGGCTCAGGTGGTAAAGATCTGCCTGTAATGCCGGAGGCATGGGTTTGATCCCTGGGATATGAAGTTCCCCTGGGAAAGGAAATGGCAACCCACTCCAGTATTCTTGCCTGGAGAATTCCATGGACAGAGGAGCCTGGCGAGCTACAGTCCATGGGGTCGCAAAGAGCCTGACATGACTGAACGACTAACACTTTGACATACTTAAGTCAGATGCTGGATTCATTTTTTTATTGAAGGATAGTTGCTTTACAGAATTCTGTTTTCTGTCAAACCTCAACATGAATCAACCATAATTGAAGTCTCTCAGTCATGTCCGACCCTTTGCGACCCCATGGACTGTAGCCTACCAGGCTCCTCTGTGCATGGGATTCTCCAAGCAAGAGTACTGGAGTGGGTTGCCATTTCCTTCTCCGGGGGATCTTCCCGACCCAGTCTCCAGCATTGCAGGCAGATGCTTTAACCTCTGAGCCACCAGGGAAGCCCACACAAATGTATGAATCATCCGTAGGTATACATATACCCCCTCCCTTTTGAATCTCCCTCCCCGTCCCACCCCTCTAGGCTGATACAGAGCCCCTGTTGGAGTTTCCTGAGCCAAACAGCAAATTCCTGTTTGCTCTCTATTTTACATATGGTAATGTAAGTTTCCCTGTTACTCTTTCCATACATCTCACCCTCTCCTCCCCTTTCCCCATGCCCATAAGTCTATTCTCTGTCTCTGTTTATTGTTTCTCTGTAAGTGAATTCTTCAGTACCATTTTTCTAGATTCCATATATGTGCATTAGAATATGGTATTTATCTTTCCGACTCACTCCACTCTGTATAATAGATTCTAGGTTCATCCACCTCATTAAAACTGACTCAAATGTGTCCCTTTTATGGCTGAGTAATATTCCATTGTGTATATGTACCACAACTTCTTTATGCATTCATCTGTCAATGGACATCCAGGTTGCATCCATGTTCTAGCTATTGTAAATAGTGCTGCAGTGGACAATGGGATACATGTGTCTTTTTCCATTTTGGTTTCCTCAGGGTATATGCCTAGGAGAGGGATTGCTGGGTCATATGGTGATTTTATTCCTAGTATTTTAAGGACTCTCCATACTGTCTTCCATAGTGGCTGTATCAGTTTACATTCCCACCAACAGTGCAAGAACGTTCCCTTTTCTCCACACCCTTTCAAGCATTTATTGTTTGTGGACTTCTTGATGATGGCCATTTGGATCAGTGTGAGGTGATACATCATTGTAGTTTTGATTTGCATTTCTCTAGTAATGAGCAATGTTGAGCATCTTTTCTTGTGTTTGTTAGCCATCTGTATGTCCTCTTTGGAGAAATGTCTGTTTAGGTCTTTCTAACTTTTTGATTGGGTTGTTTGCTTTTCTGGCAATGAGTTGTATAAGCTGCTTGTATATTTTGGAAATTAATCCTTTGTCAGTTATTTCACTTGCTATTATTTTCTCCCATTCTGAGGGTTGTCTTTTCACCTTGCTTATAGTTTCCTTTGCTGTGCAAAAGCTTTTAAGTTTAAGCAGGTCCAACTTGCTTATTTTTGTTTTTATTTAAATTACTCTAGGAGGTGGGTCATAGAGGATCTTGTTTATTTCTGTTTTTGTGCCAGTACCATACTGTCTTTTTTTTTTCCTCCCATTTTTATTAGTTGAAGGCTAATTTACAATATTGTAGTGGTTTTTGCCATACATTGACATGAATCAGCCATGGATTTACATGTGTTCCCCATCCTGATCCCCCCTCCCGCCTCCCTCTCCATCCCATCCCTCTGGGTCTTCCCAGTGCACCAGCCCCGAGCACTTGTCTCATGCATCCAACCTGGGCTGGTGATCTGTTTCACCCTTGATAGTATACTTGTTTCAATGCTGTTCTCTCAGAACATCCCACCCTCGCCTTCTCCCACAGAGTCCAAAAGTCTGTTCTGTACATCTGTGTCTCTTTTTCTGTTTTGCATATAGGGTTATCGTTACCATCTTTCTAAATTCCATATATATGTGTTAGTATACTGTAATGGTCTTTATCTTTCTGGCTTACTTCACTCTGTATAATGGGCTCCAGTTTCATCCATCTCATTAGAACTGATTCAAATGAATTCTTTTTAATGGCTGAGTAATATTCCATGGTGTATATGTACCACAGCTTCCTCATCCATTCGTCTGCTGATGGGCATCTAGGTTGCTTCCATGTCCTGGCTATTATAAACAGTGCTGCGATGAACATTGGGGTGCACGTGTCTCTTTCAGATCTGGTTTCCTCGGTGTGTATGCCCAGAAGTGGGATTGCTGGGTCATATGGCAGTTCTATTTCCAGCTTTTTAAGAAATCTCCACACTGTTTTCCATAGTGGCTGTACTAATTTGCATTCCCACCAACAGTGTAAGAGGGTTCCCTTTTCTCCACACCCTCTCCAGCATTTATTGCTTGTAGACTTTTGGATAGCAGCCATCCTGACTGGCGTGTAATGGTACCTCATTGTGGTTTTGATTTGCATTTCTCTGATAATGAGTGATGTTGAGCATCTTTTCATGTGTTTGTTAGCCATCTGTATGTCTTCCTTGGAGAAATGTCTGTTTAGTTCTTTGGCCCATTTTTTGATTGGGTCATTTATTTTTCTGGAGTTGAGCTGGAGGAGTTGCTTGTATATTTTTGAGATTAATCCTTTGTCTGTTGCTTCGTTTGCTATTATTTTCTCCCAATCTGAGGGCTGTCTTTTCACCTTGCTTATAGTTTCCTTTGTTGTGCAAAAACTTTTAAGTTTCATTAGGTCCCATTTGTTTATTTTTGCTTTTATTTCCAATATTCTGGGAGGTGGGTCATAGAGGATCCTGCTGTGATTTATGTCGGAGAGTGTTTTGCCTATGTTCTCCTCTAGGAGTTTTATAGTTTCTGGTCTTACATTTAGATCTTTAATCCATTTTGAGTTTATTTTTGTGTATGGTGTTAGAAAGTGTTCTAGTTTCATTCTTTTACAAGTGGTTGACCAGTTTTCCCAGAACCACTTGTTAAAGAGGTTGTCTTTTTTCTATTGTATATTCTTGCCTCCTTTGTCGAAGATAAGGTGTCCATAGGTGTGTGGATTTATCTCTGGGCTTTCTATTTTGTTCCATTGATCTATATTTCTGTCTTTGTGCCAGTACCATACTGTCTTGATGGCTTTGTAGTAGAATCAACCTTATGTCAGGAAGGTTGATTCCTCCAGGTCCATTCTTCTTTGTCAAGACTGCTTTGGATATTTGGGGTCTTTTGTGTTTGCATATGAATTGTGAAATTTTTTGTTCTTGTTCTCTGAAAAATGCTGTTGGTAATTTGATAGGGATCGCATTAAATCTATAGGTTGTGTTTGGTAATATAGTCTTTCACAATATTGATTCTTCAAAAAAAGAATCTGATAATATTGAATGTTCCATGTGCAC